TTATAATCAACATCCCATGTGATACAATTAAGTTTAAAAAAAAGACCATAACTCTATATCCAAAATGAAGTTCACGAGAGTGCCCTACCCTCATCTAACGGGCACACATGAGCCCATTATGTCATGCTAGATTAAATGTTTAAATAAAACCAACCTTCTGATCTAAACAATTTTTGTTAGTTACAAGAGGAATAGGGGCCCCGAGTGGCCGAGTGGTCTAAAGCGCTGTCCGTTACAGATCACTGCCATCTGCCATCTCACCTCTGTCTGCGTGGGTTCGAGTCTAGGATTCGGCGAATGTATATATGTGAGAAAGCTTGCCAGTAGCTTTTCGTGGGTCGGTGGTTCTTTCCGGCGATTTCCCGGTTTCGTCCTCCACCATTATTACTGGATGCCATGTATAGCCTGTTTTGTGCTGAAAAATGGCGTTAAGCCCAACAAGAACAACAACAACAACAAGTGGATTAACAAGAATCTTATCTTCGACTAGGTCATTGCTTAGTAATAAAGAATACTACCAATGGGTAACGAATGCACTGTTATGACTGTCAAGGGTCCTAACACCAAGTTGGATGACAAATTTACATAATGGAGGAAACATTAACAAAATCGCAATCTACTCCCAAGATAAGAATACTTTCATTAGCAAAATACTTCTAAAACTGAGATGTTTATGTGTCTCCTAAAATTTTCAAAGGGATAGGCCTTGCATACTCACTCATAAGTGATGTAAAACCTTTCAACATGGATGATCTTGACCTTTTAGAAATAAGAGCATTTTTAGCTCTGTCTTTATTCAGTAGCTTATTTTTTTTAATGTGTAGCAATCATAAATAAGGCCCAATTTCTTCTTGCAATAAGTTCACGTAGGAAGCAATAAAGATCTGATCAGTTTTGTTATAAGTCTGATTCCTAAAAGTTGGGCTAGTTTGAGATTTGAAAGACCTAGTATGTAACTGAGATGGTTTTCCAACCATATAAAGTGCTGAGAGGAAGACAGATTAACAAATTAAACTTTGTGAGCCAAGGAATAGCCATCAGTTGGACTAGCAACGTTTTTTTTAAAACGTCTACCTTTTGCACTTCAAGGTAATTCTTGATATAACTGCAGGTGTAGTTCTGAAGCTCTTAAAGTAATATCAGCTGTCCTTCTTTTCTATAGTTTCTTAAACTTAGATGATATGCCTCAGTACTAACTTTTAAAGACGAATTCCTTAACCACATCATAAAAAGCACTTTGTTGTACCGACAACGAATTATTGACTACACGAGCTTTGCCAGTAAGTACATTGGTTATCATAAAGTCGAATGCTCTCTTGGCCATTTCAAATTTTCAGCAATCTTATCCAAATGAGGAACACAGATCTGCGTCTTTTTCTTCTTTAAGAACTAAGCTACAGTTTTTGGGAGCATCAAAGCCTAAACGTATGTTGAATGTGGTGGTTGCGTGTTAATTCTGCTTGTCAGTTCCATTTATTTTCAACTACATTTCTCTTTCTTCTCTCGGTATCTGTATTTCCCTATCTTTTTTTTTTCTTTTCATTTGTCTCTCTTCTCTATTTCTTTCTCTTTTGAATTTGCATCTGCATTTGTTTCTATTCTTTCTCCTTCCGAATTTGCATTTTTATTTGCTTCTCTTCTCATTCTCTCTATCTCTCCCGTCCCTCCTTTTCCTCTTTCTGCAATGTATTTCTCTTTCTTCCTCTTTGTGATTTTTAATTTAATTTAGTTGCTTTTGAAGCTAAAGCTTTCTTAACCCTATTTCCATCTTGTGTTTTAATTTGAATTGTATTACTTTCAGATCAGATCCAGATGGAGCATTACAGATCCAATACAAAGCACTTGTACCCCCGAAATTATTTTCCACCAAATTTTGAACTAAAATATGTATTTCCTGCTTCGTTAAGGAAGCCTTCGCTTCACAAAGCTCATATTGTATGGGAAGCTGAAGCAGTTCGGCCTTTTCAATGATTCTAACCATTCCTTGGTGGGATTTGAAACTAAGTTTTCCACAACTTCTGACGTTATGAAAGCTTGTTGTTTTCACTAAAGATTTCTCAAATAAATAAAATTTAAAAACAGGAACTAAACAAATTTCCGGAAAAAGTGAGTTTTTGTAATGAACATGGCAAAAGAACTCAGGTATGCCAGGAATTTCTAAGGGGTAGGCCAAAAGCCTGCCTGAACTCAAATCCAAATAATTTTTTTTTCATAAAATAATTATAATAATGATCTTTAAATATAATCTACAATCATAGGCAAAACTTTGTTATTTAGCATGTTGTTTACAAAATATTACAATTTATAATCATGAACAAAACCCAACACACAATATAAAATAAATATACCTAACAACCGACTATAGACAAATCAACAGTGTTCCCAGAATTGATTCATTTCTAATGCCAAGAATGGATGATTGCATCGACAACATTGATCTTTAAATGCAAAATATATCACCAAATTTACATTTTAAACGGGTTCTGGCTAATTCCACACTGAAACAGCAAAATAAGTCAACACTTGTAGTTCCAGATGGGCACTATCCATATAAAGTGACGTCCTTTGGAATGAAAAATCCTCCGTCACCATTCTAGCAATTAATGAACCCGATAACATCTGGTCTGGATTCCACCGTCACCATTCCAGCGTTTAATGAACACAATGACATATGAACAACGATAACTATACATGGGAAGATCACTCGGAAACCATTCGGAAGCAGTGCATGTGGCCTTCTCTAAAGGTGAGTGATATGCTGCCAAAACCACACATCTATTCAGCAATAACACGTTGAAAAGCAAACACAACTCAGTGGGTACTGTGCGGGAATTAAAGTTGGATGGACCAACAGAAAGGCCTTAGTTGATATTCATTTTTCCACGAAAAGCAGGCAACAAACTCGACAAGACTGGGTAAGTAATGGAGTGATCCGTGTTCTAATTCTCGATAAACCAAACTCACGCACCAAGACTCCAATCGAACTTTATTATTTAGTTCAGCAGCCCATTCGACTATTATGTGTACTCTCTTCGATTAAAATAAGTGTCATTAAGATGAGGAAAACAAAGTCTTCAAATACACCATGATCGAGACAGTGCGACTATGACAATGCAAGTGGAAACCTTTTGCTATCTCGATACTCCATTACGCGAACTCGAGAGAGCTATACAGAAGATATTCTTCCATCACGTGATGTATGTGCGCATTATCAAGCTACACGGAAAGCCACAAGGACTATAACGTTAACACACTTTACATTCTAATAAGAAATACGCTAACTAGAGACAGCAATTCGGAAACTGTTGTTATTGTTTTTTTAATCACATGATCTCTGTCTGGATAGCGTATTCAAGTTATATTTATTATTTTAGGAAGTAGAAGCCATGTATATATGAACTATTATTCTCTTAAGTAAGGACATCAAAAATATCTTTTTGTGATGGAAATTGCTTGATTTTTACAACCTAATAAAGTGTACCATGTATTTATTAGCAAGTGTAATATAAGTGATATATGGTGAACTGTGTTGTACCAGTACAATAGGTACGGTTGAGGAAGAGGGCAGACAATCATATCGAATATTTGAGGACAATGAAATAAGCTGGAAAATAATTAATAGAAAAGAAAGAAATATGACTTTGTCAGCACACTATACAACATTATAGCCCCTGTCGATAAATTGTTGATTACGGACAATGTTCACAAGAATTCAATTCCAGGCTGGTCACGTGCCGATTTTTCAGTAAATTGCGTTTTTTTTTTATTTGCAAATTCAAAGCACAAATTTTCCAGACAGTGTTGGAACCTTTTGTTCAAAATTCAGGATCTCTGTTGAGATTGACAAGTATCGTGAATATATGCATGATATCTCACATAATCACACAGCACATATATATTTTAAAAATTATATGTTCATCCAAAGGAATCCGAATTGTTCATTACCATGATTACTGGTTATGACAATGGTACTCTGTCTGTGAGCACCCGTAGGTAGACCAACAAGTAGGTCTCTTGTTGGTCTGGTAGACCAACAAGTAGGTCTCTTGTTGGTCTAACCCGTAGGAAGCCTGAACTGCATAAGAGTGAACAGAGCTTTTTACTTACAATCAATGACATTAATCAAAAGGAATGAAGGACAACACAAAGAAAAAAAAGTCCAATAGCCACACATAACCTCTTGACCGGTTTGGTTATTGCAAATGGAAGTAAGCCAAGGATGTATGATAAAATCGCACCCTTCGGGCCTTTGTGATGTTTAATCAACTTTGAAGTGACATATAGCCAACGTTTTATTAGGCGGTCGATACTATTTATGCTTCAGTTTACACAGGATTTGGTTCAAGCTGAGTGCATGCGTCCGATTCCAAAAAGGTTACTACTCGGTACTGTAGACCAAGAAATAAAAACCGTGTTTTAAGAAATATTCCCCGAGACGAGTTGTTGATGTTAAACTGGGCATATCACAACGATCTCAACGAAGGACATTACACAAGAACAGGAATGTAACCAAACAATAATGAAGATATATAATGTCATATATTCTGAATTAAGGTGGAAAAACTAGATGAAAGAAAAATTCTTCGAAAGGGCTGACGAAGTATTTTTCGCAGAAAATTTTTAGAAAATGAAGACGAGAGAATATCCTTTTTTTAAAAAATGATTTGCGTTGAACATTTCTGGAGCTTTCACGAGTTTCAAAATTATTTGCGTGAGTTTGACTTGGATTTTTAACGTAGCTTGACCAATTTTTAATTCATATTGTTACGATGTCTGCAATATATATATATATATATATATATATATATATATATATATATATATATATATATATATATATATATATATATATATATATTATACCTGGGGCAACATGCCGTAGACATGTAGAATAATGTCCCACCCAGTCACATTATACTGACACCAAGCCGACCAGTCCTAACACTAACCTCTTAATGCTGAGCGCCTAGCGAGGCAGCTGCTATTACCATTTATATAAGTGTTTGCCTTGGTTCGAACCCGCGACCTCCCGCATCCGAGGTGGACGCCCTAACCATTAGGCAACGGAACGGTCCAGTTTAAAAAGTAGAGACTTTTTGCAAAGAACAAAACTAGACACCATTAAAAGACTTTGGTGCAAACGCCGTGTTGATTAGTAGTCATAATTAGTGACAAGATTTGCAACATGTTCATTGTGGCAGCTATACTCGAAGTTAGATTAATACTTTTTTGTTGGCCATACAGCATGTCAGAGCCTGGTGACATTCATTCAGTACCAACAAAGTCTTCTGTTGGAAACAAATTGTTGATATAATTGGCATTTTATAATTTCTAATTTTGCATAGGTTTACGTTTTTAAAGAAAAAAAAGTTTCCCAGGGTTTTTATACTGGTTATATTGGCTATTTAATAATAACTTTCATTTCTTTGTGTTGCTAAAAGAACTTTTAATTCACTTTATTGTAGTATATGACTGATTGGTGTAATTTGGCTTATAGAGTATACTACTTGACCTTGGCTTATACAGTATACCACTTGACCTTGGCTTATACAGTATACCACTTGATCTTGGCTTACACAGTATACCACTTGATCTTGCCTTATACAGTATACCACTTGATCTTGGCTTATACAGTATTCTACTTGACCTTGGCTTACACAGTATACCACTTGACCTTGGCTTATACAGTATACCACTTGATCTTGGCTTACACAGTATACCACTTGATCTTGCCTTATACAGTATACTACTTGATCTTGGCTTATACAGTATACTACTTGACCTTGGCTTATACAGTATACTACTTGACCTTGGCTTATACAGTATACCACTTGATCTTGGCTTACACAGTATACCACTTGATCTTGCCTTATACAGTATACTACTTGACCTTGGCTTATACAGTATACTACTTGACCTTGGCTTATACAGTATACTACTTGACCTTGGCTTACACAGTATACCACTTGACCTTGGCTTATACAGTATACTACTTGACCTTGGCTTATATAGTATACCACTTGATCTTGGCTTATACAGTATACCACTTGACCTTGGCTTATACAGTATACTACTTGACCTTGGCTTATACAGTATACCACTTGATCTTGGCTTACACAGTATACCACTTGATCTTGCCTTATACAGTATACCACTTGACCTTGGCTTATACAGTATACTACTTGACCTTAATTCAGATATCCACTTCACAAAAAGTCTCTATGCTTACAATTTTCACTTTGTACAAAAATGCCTATAACTACTTTCAATATATTGTATATTTAGTGATTCATTCATTGCACTTTTAGAAGCTGATGTTTTCTAGTCTGGCAAAAATTGTTTTCATTATTTTAATAACTGCCAAAGATAAACTAATTCAGGCTGATTTTTCCAGAACACTGGTGTAACCATTTTGGGTAGCTGTGTTCATAGATTATGTACATTTTCCACAACTACAGTATCCAATGAAATTTCAGCTGCAGTACATAAAGAAACATACAGGTAATATCAACATTCTCTCCATTATATGTGTTACAAATGCAAACAACTATGCCATACAACTCTCACTCTTTCTGAAATTCATCTATAGAGTGCCCCTTAACCTTCAATATATGAGTAGCAGTACAATTTTTATTTTACTTCTGCTGTGGTAGTCATATTGGAAAGAACAAATCACAGTTTTAGTAAGAACCTACCATATTGGCTGTTTGAGCCAATGTTCAAGATGGCAACTGTGGTGGCCATATTTGCTGTCTGAGCAGAATTATTTTTTATTTAGCATCAACTAGACATCTTCTGGATAAAGCCCCATGTGGTTTTCTGTTCAGGACTTGAAGTGATAAGATGTTCAAGATGGCTGTCATGTTGGCCTTTATGGGCAATAGAATGTCACCATTTTTGTTTCTGACCCAATGATCATCATTAAAAAAAACCCCACAATGATATGACCATCCATTCAGGCAGAGACCAATAGCAAGATTCTCAAGATGGCAACTGTGGTGGCCATATTGGATGACTTTCTATTCAGAAGGTGCAGTGGTAACAAGATTTTAATGATAGCTGCCATATTAGGCATCAGATTAGCATAATTTTTTTATAAGACTAACTAGACATCATAAGAATTATTTTAGTCAAAACCCCATGGTGATATGACCATCCATTCAAAATAAGTAGCAATAACAAGAATTTTAAGATGGCTGTTGGGCCAAGCTGGATGCCAGAGGAAGTTTCCATTCACAATCACCTTGGGATGAATGTAGTGTGAATTTTCAATGGCTATCCTCCAAACAGTTTAGGATAAGCAGTGATAATAAATGTGTGCTAACAGACAGATGAATGTGACAGATGTCTGACATTAGACATGAGGCCATCTGATAAACTCTTCTGGTTTATAATCAGCATACCTGAAGAAATCACAACTATAACAAAGCCAACAATGCATTTTAATAAATGCACTGTATGATCTTGGAGTGAACTGTCAAAATATCCAAGGGCAAAATCTTGTGATATCAGGGTCTCCCAACCAGTACTTGACCCAAAGGCAAAATTTCCCAAACAGAGACTTGAGCCAAGGGCAGAAATGCCACTGGAAGTAAAGTACATTTTCACATTCAAAATACAGTGTAAAATTGGATATTGAACAGAATGGTATGAATCCAGTGCTCTTATTGTAGAGCCTAGCCCATGATCAAAACTAGCATAAAGAGATAGAAAGCATCTAAATGTTATGCATTGAATTGAATTAAAATAAGCTGTTGAAAAAATAATAAGGGTCCAACTTCCTGACCCTATAGGACCCACCCAACATACATATACCTGTGAGCAACAGTTTATGGAGAAAGGAAATATTGGATAATAGAAGATTGTAAGTACTGTACGATGAAAACCAGTTCAAGGTTATTAGAATATTATTTAAATAATGAAATCAGAAGTGTCACACTTCTTGGCCCCATGGCCCCATAATGGGGTGCAACCCAGCGGACATCAGTAAATGGAGTAGGTTTGGGAAGATATCATATTTCAAATTTCAAATGATTTGGATAAATTTTTATTAAAAATATAAGATATGGAACCAAAACTTTAATAACTTTAAAGCATCCTATGTATTGACCTCATGGCGCCACCAAAATAACCCAGGGGTAGGAATCTTCAGGGGAGGAGGTAAACATGTCATATTAAAACTGGTTAAATGGGTTTTTAAAATTTAAGTCATATATACTTCCTGACCAATCAGGCCAGAAAAACCCAGGAGTAGTGATATCAATATGGTCTGTATATTGATGTTTGAATCCATGTTTGTGTATTTTTGTTTTAATCCACATCTGTGTTTTGATGTTTTAATCCATGTCTGTGTTTTGATGTTTTAATCCATGTCTGTGTTTTGATGTTTTAATCCATGTCTATTTTTTTGATGTTTTAATCCATATCTGTTTTGATGTTTTAATCCATGTCTGTGTTTTGATGTTTTAATCCATGTCAGTGTTTTTGATGTTTTAATCCATGTCTGTGTTTTGATGTTTTAATCCATGTCTGTTTTTGATGTTTTAATCTATGTCTGTGTTTTGATGTTTTAATCTGTCTGTGTTTTTGATATTTTAATCCATGTCTGTGTTTTGATGTTTTAATCCATGTCTATGTTTTTGATGTTTTAATCTATGTCTGTGTTTCTGATATTTTAATCCATGTCTGTTTTTAATTTTTCAATCCATGTCTGTGTTTGATGTTTTAATCCATGTCTGTGTTTTGATGTTTTAATCCATGTCTGTGTTTTGATGTTTTATTCCATGTCTGTGTTTAATGTTTTAATCCATGTCTGTGTTTTGATGTTTTAATCCATGTCTGTGTTTTGATGTTTTTTTCCATGTCTTTTGATAAGGGGTAATGGAAATGTAAGAGTAATAACATCAGTAAGGTATGTGTATTGATGTTATATTCCATCTCTATGTATATATGAGTGATAATGAGGGAAGAAAAAGTGTGATCATGTTATATTCCATATATGAGTAATAATGAGAGAAATGGACTGGCTCATGTTATATTCCATATATGAGTAATAATGAGAGAAATGGACTGGCTCATGTTATATTCCATATATGAGTAATAATGAGAGAAATGGACTGGCTCATGTTATATTCCATATATGAGTAATAATGAGAGAAATGGACTGGCTCATGTTATATTCCATATATGAGTAATAATGAGAGAAATGGACTGGCTCATGTTATATTCCATATATGAGTAATAATGAGAGAAATGGACTGGCTCATGTTATATTCCATATATGATTGGTAATAAGGAAAGGGGACCATGTCATGTTATATTCCATATACAAGTGGTTATGAGGGAATGGGACCATGTCATGTTATAAACCATAGATGAGTAGCAATAAGGGAAGGGGACCATGTCATGTTATATTCCATATACAATATTCCAGCTATGAGTATTAATGAATGATGGAAACTATGTGATCATATTATTTTCCAGAGAGAAGGGGTAAATGAGGAATGGGGACAAGGTCATCACATTATGTTACAGATGTGAATGGTAATGAGGAAAGGGGACATTGTGAAAATATTATATTGCAGATATGAAGAAATAGAGTAAGGACCTACTGAAAGCAGAAGCTATAAAAGAAAATTTAGTCAATGGGAGTCAACAATGTAATTCTTGACTCACTGCCTGTAGACCTCTTTAGTCCCAAATCAAAAGGCTTCTTCCTTACACCAAGTGCAAACTATGACCAAATCAATAGGTTTTTTTGTTACTCCAAGTGCAAACTATGACCAAATCAATAGGCTTCTTTGTTACTCCAAGTGCACACTATGACCAAATCAGTAGGCTTCTTTGTTACTCCAAGTGCAAGCAACCCATTAAGTTTGGTTATCTATGTGATCCAGAATTAGTTTTATTGTATAGGATACATTTTCATTCATTGAGGATTGGTGACCTTGACATTTGACCCTCCCAAGTTTCTTCCTTAGTCCTAATACAATCCATCCAGAAACATAGGTACATAATGTGGAACTAATGCTATTGTGTGGAAGCCATTTGAATTCTTTCCATCTA